GTGCGTCACATCCTGTGTCATTAATGTACTGGAGTGCGTCACATCCTGTGTCATTATGTACTGGAGTGCGTCACATCCTGTGTCATTATGTACTGGAGTGCGTCAACCCTGCGTCATTATGTACTGGAGTGCGTCACATCCTGTGTCATTATGTACTGGAGTGCGTCACACCCTGTGTCATTATGTACTGGAGTGCGTCACATCCTGTGTCATTATGTACTGGAGTGCGTCACACCCTGTGTCATTATGTACTGGAGTGCGTCACACCCTGTGTCATTATGTACTGGAGTGCGTCACACCCTGCGTCATTATGTACTGGAGTGCGTCACACCCTGCGTCATTATGTACTGGAGTGCGTCACACCCTGCGTCATTATGTACTGGAGTGCGTCACACCCTGCGTCATTATGTACTGGAGTGCGTCACACCCTGCGTCATTATGTACTGGAGTGCGATAAAATTAATGAATTCAGAGAGAACTCACTCAGAATTGTTTAAGACATGTCGAAGTATTTTATCCGCAGTCGTATATTACAAACCATTCTAGAAAAAATACCCTGATTTTGCTTACTGTTATTTGTTATGTAAATCTCTTTCAAACGTTGTACTACCCGGCAGGGGTCGATTCATAGCTCCTGGCCCCGCCTCTTCACTGGTCGCTGTGTGCTACCTAATCCATGTCTGCATAAATAATTCATTACGAACGTGACCAGATATAAATATAATAGAGGTGTTCCCCCTCCCACCTTGTGGACCTAAACGTGGTGTTCCCCCTCCCACCTTGTGGACCTAAACGTGGTGTTCCCCCTCCCACCTTGTGGACCTAAACGTGGTGTTCCCCCTCCCACCTTGTGGACCTAAACGTGGTGTTCCCCCTCCCACCTTGTGGACCTAAACGTGGAAGGAAGAATGACAAGTGCGAAAAGGCAGATATTTGTAGAGGAAACTTTGGAAGGATTGGGGAATTTCTGAATGCAGTGCAGTTGGCAGGGTAACTGGAAGGAAAGTCAACTGACGTGATGGTGGAGAGTACCTAGCTGGAGAACTTACTTAACTGAGGAGAAGAGTAAAATTTATTTAGGTACAGACAGGGCGGCGGGGCGTTGACCCCCGAAACCCTCTCCAGGTGTACTCCAGGTATACTCCAGGTATACGTGTGAATCACCTAGGCTAACCCAAAAAAAAGTCAGACAAAGTGACTTATTTCCATTAGGGCCCTTAGGAAAGAGCAAAGACAAAGAAAGCCCTTGACTCAACCAGAGAGGCAAAAAAAAAAAACAAAAAAAAAACAAAGAATCACATGAGGGTGAAAAAACTATAAGGCGTTAAGAACAGACTAAAACAGAAGTGTGAAAATCAGCCAGAAATGAACATGCAAGGGTGAGAGAGGCTGAGAGACAACAAAATAACATGGCAGATGTAGCCAAGTCTGGACCAAAATTACTTCACATCCATATCAAAAGAAAGATCTAGTAATCCGACTGAAGGAAGATGGAGAGCATTTATGGATAGAAAAGTCTGTGAGGTGTTAAGGAGACGATTTAAAGAGGTTTTCTCGGTGGAAACAAAGCAATGCCAAAACGCCCATGGGTAAAAAAAAAAAATACAGTGACAAACATCGGACATAATACACACAACAAGGATAGAGGCAAAAAAAAAAAATGATGGGGCAGTTGGTTATATCAAAAGCCTAACAAGGTACCACCGTGAATTCCGAACAACTAGCTAAGATCTACAGGATCTGAAAGACAGTGAATGTTCCTAATGAAATTGAAATGTTTATTTGTTTGTAAAGTTTACAATGTGTGGTCAAAGAAAGCCATTAGCATGCCTAGGCATTTCGGGCAGACTAATACTATTTCTTACATTATATTGACAAAGTTATGGATCATACTGATATTAAAGTTAGGTACTGTAGTGATTAATTACATTTACAATAGTGAGGTAGTACAAAACATAAGAATACAACAATTTGTAATTTAGTAATGGAATGGTTGTGTCTTGGCATGTACACAGTTTATATTATAGCTTTATATTGGAGTATCTTAGATAAACTTAGGAATAGCTTAAGATTTATTAGGTAATAGTTATATTAGGAATTTTATGTTTACAGTCATTTGGGTGAGTGTAAGTGTAAATTTGGATGTGTGCATGATACGAGTAAGAGAATAGGTGGTTTTCATGTAGTTAGGTGACGGTGGGGTGTGTTAGGTGACGGTGGGGTGTTAGGTGACGATGGGGTGTGTTAGGTGACGGTGGGGTGTGTTAGTGACGGTGGGGTGTGTTAGTGACGGTGGGGTGTGTTAGGTGACGGTGGGGTGTGTTAGGTGACGGTGAGGTGTGTTAGGTGACGGTGGGGTGTGTTAGGTGACGGTGGGGTGTGTTAGGTGCGGTGGGGTGTGTTAGGTGACGGTGGGGTGTGTTAGGTGACGGTGGGTGTGTTAGGTGACGTGGGGTGTGTTAGGTGACGGTGGGGTGTGTTAGGTGACGGTGGGGTGTGTTAGGTGACGGTGGGGTGTGTTAGGTGACGGTGGGTGTGTTAGGTGACGGTGGGGTGTGTTAGGTGACGGTGGGGTGTGTTAGGTGACGGTGGGGTGTGTTAGGTGACGGTGGGGTGTGTTAGGTGACGGTGGGGTGTGTTAGGTAAACGGTGGGGTGTTAGTGACGATGGGGTGTGTTAGGTGACGGTGGGTGTGTTAGGTGACGGTGGGTGTGTTAGGTGACGGTGGGGTGTGTTAGGTGACGGTGGGGTGTGTTAGGTGACGGTGAGGTGTGTTAGGTGACGGTGGGGTGTGTTAGGTGACGGTGGGGTGTGTTAGGTGACGGTGGGGTGTGTTAGGTGACGGTGGGGTGTGTTAGGTGACGGTGGGGTGTGTTAGGTGACGGTGGGGTGTGTTAGGTGACGGTGGGTGTGTTAGGTGACGGTGGGGTGTTAGGTGACGATGGGGGTGTTAGGTGACGGTGGGGTGTGTTAGGTGACGGTGGGGTGTGTTAGGTGACGGTGGGGTGTGTTAGGTGACGGTGGGGTGTGTTAGGTGACGGTGGGGTGTGTTAGGGAGAAAATATGTTTCTTAACGGTAGTTTTGAAAATAGTGGTTGAGTCTGCAGTTTTAGAGTTGTCAGGTAGGGAGTTCTAGATTTTAGGCCCTTTTATACATGTACATGTACATTGATTTTTTGTATAGATTTAGCCGGACACGGGGAATGTCATAGAGATTTTTGTGTCTGGTATTGTGTCTATGGGTCCTGTCACAACTATCAAGAAAGTGTTTTAGTTCAGGGTTAATACTGTAATTTATGGTTCAGTAAATGTAGGTTGCACAGTAGTAATTGTAGATGTTCTGTACAGTAAGTTTAGATCTTTGAAGAGTGGAGAAGGGGGTGTGTTGCCTGGTATTGGATTGTGTGATAATTCTTACTGCGGTTTTTTGTTGGGTTATTATTGGCTTTAGGTGTGTTGGTGCTGTTGATCCCCAGGCACAAATGGCATAGGTGAGGTAAGGATAGACGGAGTGAATAGTATAGTGTGAGTAGGGCTGATTGTGGCACGTAGTGACGTATCTTAGAGAAGATCCCAACCGTTTTGAATACTTTTTTTTTTTGTTTTGTGGTGGATATGGGTGCTGAATTTCAGGTTACTGTTAAGGTGTAGACCCAGGAATTTGCCCTCATTATGTTTAGCAATAGGAATGTTGTCAATCATTATGTTCAGTTGTAAGAAAGGAGGCAGACGGCAGAAAGTGTTGAACTACAGGCCAGTTTCACTGACATGTATACTGTGCAAGGAAATATAGAAGATAATCACCCAATATCATCACCGCTAGTAACTAGTTTAACAGTGTAAACTAAGGATACACTTTCCCATTAGCCACCAGTATTGATGACTAGTTTAACATAGTGTGAATCAAGAAGACACTCTCACGTATTTCTTCATTTTTTTTCTGTGATATTTCACCTGATTGGTCAGAGATGTGACAGACCAGCGAACGGAAGATAAATCCTCCACTGTTCCTTGCACTAGATGACCCACAAAGGTTTGGCGCTTTATGTTGGTAGGTTCACTACACTTGTGTCGAAGATTTATGTACATAGTGCACACCCCACAAGGGAGGTTCCTTGATGCTGGTGAGGGACATTTGATGCAAAGAATTGGACCTATCCTCCCATTCCATGGATCGAACCTGATTGCCTCCCCTTTACATCACATTGTATGGTTACTATTTTTCAAGAGGCAATTTAGATTTGGGATCATCACTTTAAATGATCACTGTATCACCCTGGTGAAGAGCTCTTGATCCAGGGAATTAAAGCCTTTTTCTCCTTCCCATTCAGGAGTCCGTCACCAGAATAGACCCAGCGTTAAGCGTGAGAATCCTAGCATTTTATTTTTATCATATTCATGGGAAAGCACTATGTCAGTATGGCTTATACAACACCTGGAGAATGGGAGGTAATCAGATTTGCTCCAAGGGACAGATAGCCTCGCTTCCTTGTATCAAGATCCCTTTATCATCATGAAGGTCTCCCCGTCTCCTTGAAGGTAACTTCTAGCATAAACCTGGCACGGTGTGAAAATCCTAGCACATACTCAGCAGGACCTGCGATAATCCTAGCACAATCAGCAGGCTCTGCGATAGTCCTAGCACAATCAGCAGGCTCTGCGACAGTCCTAGCACAATCAGCAGGATCTGCGACAGTCCTAGCACAATTAGCAGGATCTGCGACAGTCCTAGCACAATTAGCAGGCTCTGCGACAGTCCCAGCACAATCAGCAGGGTCTGCGACAGTCCTAGCACAATTAGCAGGATCTGCGAGTCCTAGCACAAGCAGCAGGATCTGCGAGTCCTAGCACAAGCAGCAGGATCTGCGAGTCCTAGCACAAGCAGCAGGATCTGCGAGTGATAGTACAATCGGCAGGATCTGCGACAGTCCTAGCACAGACCCAACAGGAAGCGTGAGGATGCCAGCGTTAAGTCAATATGAAGGTAGTCTTGGCCTCACCTGGGTTCTTGAGTGATGGTGTTGATGCTGGGGTCTGTGATGAAGCTACTGGTTACTTGATCCAGCCTCTTCAGCGTTATGTCGCTGTACAGCTGTGGTTGTGATGTTTCAGTCATACCCTTGGCCTCCGTGCCCACTGTGAAGCTGTGAATCGTTCCTTCACGGCTTGTGGAGGCATATCCTGCCGTGAAGCTGTGTATTGTTCCTTCACGGCTTGTGGAGGCCTCTTCTACCACTTTTTTAGAGGTCACCAGTTCCGCCATGCTAGGCTCAGTAATTTTTCTCGATATAGATAACTTTTGTATACGATTTTGCTACAGCTTCTACGGGAAGGTTCTCAAATAACAACACTGGTTTGTGATCTGCATAAATCCGATTGCTTTAATGATTCCTCAAAGAAAATATACATTTTTCTGTTAATGTTACACCTGTTGTGAAGACGATTGTTAACTCTTTGAAAAGAACATAATAAAAACTTTTATGGATCTTCTATATCACAGACTTTATGGGGTATTGTCACAAACTGAGATACTTTGATATCCTCTCTATTATTGACGACCTTGTGAAAAATCTTGGCAGTGTGGGCTTGGGAATCTTAGAAAACACTATTCAGTGTACTTCTTGGGTTTGGTGAAACAAGGAATACATGACCAGGTCGTAGGTTCTTCAGAATCCCGTAACTTGTATGAAGAAGGACTGAGGCTAAAGCAGAGATGTTTACCTGGAGGGAATGACCAAAGTCTCAGGTTTCTCAGAAAGTTGTAGCTTGTACGAGGAAGGAGACAACGTACCATCCCAGGCCAGTGACCAGGAGATAGCTACCTGAGCTGGTGATCAACACCAGCTTGTACCTAGACACTGTTTCACTGAAAACTCATCTCACTGCACCGTTATCTTATCTTGTTACCCTAAACCCTTACCAGCGTAATTATGATTTTTAATTATTGTACCACTTTCCCCTCCTCACTGCTATCCTTGCTTACCAGGCAGGGTAAAAAAGGGTATTAGTCGACTATTGTGGGTCGTACATGTCTATACTTATATTGTTTTATAATAATGTATTAAACATTCATTGTTCTGGTACCGTTGCTGTACGTAATTTTAATTTTAATATGCTTCGCGTGTTGTATAATTTTAAAGAACTCACGAAATTGTGATTACGGATACTTTTTGGAACCTAGAAAACGATGAGATAAATATTTTGTACAATAATGACAACAACAATGATACAGGTTATATATATATTATATATATATATATATATATATATATTATATATATATATATATATTATATAATATATATATATATATATATATATATGTCGTGCCGAATAGGCAGAACTTGCGATCTTGGCTTAAATAGCAACGCTCATCTTGCCATATAGGACAAGTGAAAATTTGTGTATGCAATAATTTCGCCAAAATCATTCTGAACCTAACGAAGCCCCTCAAGGAAGGTTCCTTGATGTTGGTGAGGGGCTCTTGATTTAGGGAATTGGATCTGTGCTCCAGTTCCCCGAATTAAGCCTGAATGCCTTCCACATCCCCCTCCCTAGGCGCTGTATAATCCTCTGGGTTTAGCGCTTCCCCCTTGATTATAATAATAAAAAAGAACCTAACGAAAAAAATATATTTCACTGTGTTTGTTTAGTATTAAATTATTGTAAACGTATTTAAATATATTTAGTTGGGTTAGGCTAAAATAAATTGTTCTTGTTATAATAAGGTTAGGTAAGTTTTCTAAGATTCTTTTGGTGCAAAATTTTAAATTTTTACATTATCATTAATGAAAAATATATATCTTTAAATGTATAAGAGAAAATTTTAGAAAGGACTTAATTTTAAATGAGTTCTTGCTAATTGACCATTTTACATATTCGGCACGACATATAATATATAT